CATATCAGGACGAAATGGACGTTCAGTGCTTCCACATTTCTAATGGTGGTCTAACATTGATCGATTCATGATTTCTAATGTGTAACTTCACAATCTTCACAACAATCGTAAGGAAAAATTAGTTAATTGGGTTTTCTCAGGTTATTCACACATCTTTTGATCCAGAAATCATTTGCCTTTAACCTTGATCACTTTCACTCGTGTAAGCATGCATCGCTTGCTTTATTTTTTTAGCATCCATTATACTTCGCTGTGACTGTATAAAATTGGTCGTGACTCATCACAATGATTTGGCATAGTCTCATTTTCCCTATTGTCACAGATCAGATTTCGGTTTCAGCTTAAACAAAACAATTAGGCAAAATGCATCACAAACGTTGAAAACAGCTTCTTTCCGGTATAATTGAAAACTCAACTAATTCAAGATAGCATCCAGAAACAAGTTCACAGCATTTCAAGATTGACTCAATGATGTTAGTGAAAACTGAAGACCACTTAATCTGCATCCAACTCGTGAATTTAAGCAACAAAGTTAAACATTACACACAAATGCCATTACTGAAAGTTGGAAATGTTCAGTAGTTGCAGATAGTCAACATTACCCCAAATTATACTAGTTAATGTACGCTAGCAAATCATTGCTGTCAGCATAAGCGCACAAATGCCGTGTACTAAATCTGTACTGGGATAACTCAGCCTTATATTCTGTGATGTTACCAGTAATGCATTTTAATTCTTGTTGGATTTGACATTTTGTTGCTTCTTAGAACAGAAATTAAAGTTGACAATTGATACACAGTCATCCTATGATTAACTCAGTATAGACCGTTTTGGGTAATCTGTCCATCCGAAGCCAGGATAGAGGCTGAAGTTTAGATAAACAGTTGGCGATTCTCTCGCGTCAAAAGCACTAGCCAGAATAAATGAATGCAACTACATTAACTCTGCTCTGAGCAGAATAATTTCTTTTCTTCATGAGACTCCTGACGCCTAATGATAAAAGATCAGCTGCTTAGGTATTCACGGGGACTATGGCCCATCTCACAACCACAGCAACTAACACTTTACGTTATAATGATTGATTACCGTTGACGAACACCGGTTACCTTCAATGAATAACCAGTAAACATGAAATGTATTATCAAAATTTATATTTATCAAAATCTCTCGATAAACTTATACTTGATAACATAATTGAAAATTGTAAATCGCTGAAAAACGGACCGATATTCAGTGATCACAGCAGCCTAATTCGTATTATTATTCATTGACATGTCCGATACTCACAACACACAGAACCAGCGCAAACGTGAAAGTCGATCGTGCAAAAAGATGAGCAGAAATCACATTCGATTTGATCAAACACATTTATTAAAATTACAAGAAGTGTTGATTGCACAGGTTGTTGTTTAAATGAGTGAGTGTGTTGCTAACGAGATGAGTGTGTGATGGTGTATGTAAACATGTCAGTGATCGAAAGGTCAGTAGGTGAAGAACAATCTGAAGAGCTTGATGATTGGCATTCTGGTCAAGCAGAGGCGAGGCACACGCTCTATCGGCAGACAGACAACTGCTTACTTGCGTCTACAGTATCCATTCAAACACTGTCCATTGCAGCATTCCCAATTGTGCACACATTGTTCTTTCGACTGTAAACACCGACCGCGCACACACACGCCTTCTCGTGCATTGATCAGCTTGCACTGGTGTGGTGGACAACACTTCTTGTTCCCGTCCGCATCACAATGCTTGCCCACATCGAAACACTGCTCGACCTCCGCTGAAATGTAAACCGCACAAACAACAACACAAAACACACAAATATTATTCTCTCGTCAACATTTATCAACTGTTCCACTACCATCAACATTATCAAAATACAATCACTACTCAATCGACAGTCACTTCACAATCACCACAGAGACAACTTCAATTATCAACATCAATTAACGCACACACACGCAAATCGCTTCACACACGCACACACTCTGGTACAGTCACAACAGTTCAAATCCACACACTCATTCACCGCATTCACTGCGTTCATTCATCTACTCAGACAACCACTCAAACATTCGTTCATTCATTCTTGCTTTCATTCATTCACTCATTCATTCATTGATTCATTCATTCATTCATCCATTGTTGTCACTCACCGTGGACACCATAGATGCTGAGAACAGCGAATAAACACACCAGTACACTCGGTTGCATCTCAATGTCGCTCACTCCAAGTGCTGATGAGTCTCATATCAGGACGAAATGGACGTTCAGTGCTTCCACATTTCTAATGGTGGTCTAACATTGATCGATTCATGATTTCTAATGTGTAACTTCACAATCTTCACAACAATCGTAAGGAAAAATTAGTTAATTGGGTTTTCTCAGGTTATTCACACATCTTTTGATCCAGAAATCATTTGCCTTTAACCTTGATCACTTTCACTCGTGTAAGCATGCATCGCTTGCTTTATTTTTTTAGCATCCATTATACTTCGCTGTGACTGTATAAAATTGGTCGTGACTCATCACAATGATTTGGCATAGTCTCATTTTCCCTATTGTCACAGATCAGATTTCGGTTTCAGCTTAAACAAAACAATTAGGCAAAATGCATCACAAACGTTGAAAACAGCTTCTTTCCGGTATAATTGAAAACTCAACTAATTCAAGATAGCATCCAGAAACAAGTTCACAGCATTTCAAGATTGACTCAATGATGTTAGTGAAAACTGAAGACCACTTAATCTGCATCCAACTCGTGAATTTAAGCAACAAAGTTAAACATTACACACAAATGCCATTACTGAAAGTTGGAAATGTTCAGTAGTTGCAGATAGTCAACATTACCCCAAATTATACTAGTTAATGTACGCTAGCAAATCATTGCTGTCAGCATAAGCGCACAAATGCCGTGTACTAAATCTGTACTGGGATAACTCAGCCTTATATTCTGTGATGTTACCAGTAATGCATTTTAATTCTTGTTGGATTTGACATTTTGTTGCTTCTTAGAACAGAAATTAAAGTTGACAATTGATACACAGTCATCCTATGATTAACTCAGTATAGACCGTTTTGGGTAATCTGTCCATCCGAAGCCAGGATAGAGGCTGAAGTTTAGATAAACAGTTGGCGATTCTCTCGCGTCAAAAGCACTAGCCAGAATAAATGAATGCAACTACATTAACTCTGCTCTGAGCAGAATAATTTCTTTTCTTCATGAGACTCCTGACGCCTAATGATAAAAGATCAGCTGCTTAGGTA